TCTTTTCTAAAGTATACTCGCGTGTTCCTCGTTGGCTTGCATCAACTTTGATCCCAAGCCTTCTACACGAAGGTTATCTTAAACTGTACAGTAGAAAAACAAAACAGTGATAATAAATCTTAATTTTGTCCCCGTTTCGTTCGACATAACTGCAGGCGATTAGTTCACGAGGGATCCGATGATCCGCCCAGGTATGGTAAAAAAATTCAAATATCAAAATCCATCTAAGGTCAACTTTGCCTCAGGGAGTTGAAACTTTCGTCTCTTGATAATTTTTAAATTTATAAACGGACAATTTAACAAAGGTTTGTTATAAATCATTTCAGTATCGAAGTACTGACTTCTGAGCTGATGTTACCCTCGGGGACTGATAGTTCGCCAGCAGCGGTATCGACACAGTGCTGTAAAAATGAAAACAACACTTAATAAATTTCATGCGCTTTTCTGGATTAACCTTGATCAGGAACGCTCAAAGCCGAATATTTGAAAGTCAATGAACCGAAACAGCTGAAGAGCTATATGAACAAAAAAGACCTAAAATAATAGCAAAATCCATCTAAGGTCAACTTTGCCTGAGGGAATTGAAACCTTAGTTTCTTGATAATTTTTAAATTTATAAACGGACAATTCTATGATTTAACTTCCCCAGACAAAGTTGACCACTTGTGGAGCGATTTAGACTTTATCTAAACATACGTTAATGTTCAATCTAAATAAAATGTGATGTGGAGTTTACGTCAGTAGGAGACAGTTACCCAACGACAAAAATAACCAAAAGACATCTGAGAGAGCAACATACAGTCTTTAACGATAGACAGGTATCTTACAATGTGTCAAGCTCTAAATCGCCCCGAGCCAGCTCATTAAATATGTGAATGAATGATCAAAGATATGCCATCAACACCGATCTCTTCCAATAATCTGAAAAAAAATAAACTAATATTACATTGGAATAATTCTTATATGATTTGCATATTAGGGAATACGTTGATATGATTGGTCGAGAGGACTACCGGTAGTTGATCTTGACGTTGTTTATTTTTCGATAGACGACGTTGACCGAACTTCTTTTCGTAACCAATGTAAACAAGATGGCGGCGATAATAACACCGACATTAACAAAATTATTCTCACTGCACGTTAATCGTTGAATTAAATAATAAACACAAAATCATTCGTTGGAATGATAATAAGAGTTTTTGTAGTTTATTTTTTATCAGATAGCAAATTTCATGGAGTACATATTTTTGCGTTAACCAACAAATATATTCATACGCCAGGCCTATTCAAGGACACAAATATACAATTTACGTGTGATAAAGGTTACGAGTGTGGAAAAATATATTCCTTATCTCCAATTTTAAAGAATTATAAGGATTAAACGCCTTTTTAAAGGAATTTATTGGTGTATAAACTGGACCAAGTCACTCACAAACATATCATAAAAGTCCTTCGGACTTTTATTTGTTTATCTATTGGTCCCTGGTATGAAATGCCTGCGACAACTATTGTAGAGGATACTGACTTGGGACATGCACTTGAAAATGTGGTTGGGTTTAACCAGATTTTTATGAAATCTTAATCTTCCGTTTTTCAATCTCGATCAGTGGATTAAAAAACACACATACAAGAACATAAAACAAAAACCAGTACAGGAAAAGCAGTGAACTTTGAAATATAGGTTCACCAATGGTCTTTGTAAAAAAAAAACACTCTGATTTAAATAAAAAGATTACTGAAACTGACATCATCAAATTGCTTTGATTTGTTTTAGGGACTGTATATTTGCTACGTTTGGAGGACGTGTATTTTAAAAATCAATCTGCATTCCTATAGGAACCAACTGTGCCCCTTCTGCTTGCTGATTTGTTCCTGTATTCCTAAGAGACAGACTTCATACAGGAGATTCTTAAGAAAAACCAAAAGAAGCTGTCATACACTTTGACTTCAGATTCTGCTTATAGATGATGTCATTTCATTTAATAATTCAATGTTTGGTGACTGCATCGATCCCAATGAGATACCAAAGATACAGTTTAGTCTGCTCCATATCATGACATCTAGAAATTAACAACGGTTGGTCGATTGAAAACTAAAATTTACGACAAAAGAGAAGATTTAAATTTTTCCATTGTGACCTTTCCATTTCTGTGTAGAGACATTCCAAGCGCCTGTTTATGGAGTATATATCTTCCAGATGAATTCGATTCATATGTTTTTATGTCACTCAAGTGCACTAGGTCACCAGAAAGTTATTAGAAATTACTGGAATTCAAAAAGAGTATAATGTCTACCTTTAATGTCAATAATTTACATACTTCCATAAAATCTTAATTGTATTCCCCTCTGCATAATGCTGTTTAAGACAATAAAATTTAACATGTATTTATGAAATTGTAGTTGAACAATATCGTTAACCAGAAGGAAAGAATTTGAATCTGAAATACAACATTTACATAAAGAATTTATTCCAAGATAAGTTTGGTTTGGTTAGGAATGTCCTTATACATTTTTGGATAAGTACCCAAATTTTGTCAGCATCTATCAAAATTGCAATTTTTGAACATCTTTATATCAATTAGCCATTTATAATTTGGAAATATTTTTTGGAAAAACATGAAAATGTTGTTAAAATCATAAAGAACACATACGAATCTATGATACTGTGAATTTGAGTAAAGATTAAAGAAATTTAGAAAATAGCTCTAGATAGTGTGAATAAATTATGGGGGGACTTTTCTCTATCTCTTTATCCAACGCAGATCGACAAATCACTCAATTAAACGTCATACATACCATGTCCTATTTATTCCTTGATATACCTATTCCTCATGGTAATATACATACCAAATCTATGATAAATGGGCTTCTTTTCCTTTTCTATTCTTAACTTTCCCTTTGACTTTATATACGGAGTGCACATTTCTCAGTTGGTTTGGAAATTTGAGTGATTGCGGTGACAGTGCAGATTCAATAAACGTAAAATTTCATTGCTTAAAAGCTTTTACAGCATGGAAATAGATATAAAAAATTGACAAAATTTTACTTCCGTCTAAATATCTGCATGTTTTGTTATAGGCATTCAATGATAGTTATAAAAAGAAAATGTAGTTACTCTATCACGATAGAAATGTGGAATAATTGTCAACGAAACAACTATTCATTAAGACAAAGACCAAAGGACAACGTTGTCAACAGGTCACAGGTCACCGTACAGCCCACAAAAGTCCTCAGGATGACAATATTTGAAACAGTTCAAAGAGAAAACCGACGACTTGATATATATTACAACAATAAACGCAAAGCAGTTATGACAGACAACAACCAACGACAACCACTTGCTCCTGGCTTGGGACAAGCGCATACAGAATAAGACCGGTTTAAGCATATCTGTAAGCGCCGGCACAACCCTACCTTAACATATAAGGACAGTGGCGTAAAAACACTACATAATACCGATGTAGAAAATAGTTCGAAAGGGATTGACTCATCAGATTTGCACTAAGCACAAAAACAATTAGTAAAAAATAAAGACACACAGTGCTGATATAACAATAGAAGCAGTTATCGAAAGATAGCTCAAAACCTTATTTCAACTAGGCAATATAATATGTTCCCCTATAAGACAAAAATATCAATAATACACTTCGCGGATTTAGTTTAAAGACTTTATAAGTAGTCCGCATGATGATAATTCATGTATGAATCATGCACCCTCTGAATTTTGAATAAAACAATATGTATTGACCGTTTAAGTGACAACAGTGATGACAAGAGGCATACATCAAAGGAATGTACGTGTAAATAAAAATAGATGATAAAACGGAATAGAAAAGTTACACGACCATCACGTTTTGAAAACAAACAAAAAGTAACCAAAGTTATAGACACAATTTCAGTCTGTATCGTAAAGGTAGATATAATATTGCCTCCAGTTTTCAATTAAACAGATCATACCTAGTATAGTCTTTTTTATTTCAATTTTCTTATATTCCAAAATTAATGGACGATATAAGTTCCCGTGGGTGCGAACCGTAACAGGATAAATTAACTAAAGTTGAAATCAAAATCAGTACACGCACTTTATTTCAGCCGACAAGTAGTGATGAGATCAATAAAAACTGAAAAAAATCAGTTTTTTAGCTTTGTGAGTAGGTGACACAGGGATGCTATTTCCCAAATCCTGAATTGTTTTCTAATTTTCCGCCTTTTTTTCTCCAGATCACCCCTTTTTATCCCTAAATCTCACATCCCGACTTTTCTTCACCCCTATCCCACATTCCCACTTTTCTTTACCCCTATATCCCACATCCCCACTTTTCTTCACCCCTATATCCCACATCCCCACTTTTCTTCACCCCTATATCTCACATCCCCACTTTTCTTCACCCCTATATCTCACATCCTCACTTTTCTTCACCCCTATATCCCACATCCCCACTTTTCTTCACCCCTATATCCCACATCCCCACTTTTCTTCACCCCTATATCTCACATCCCCACTTTTCTTCACCCCTATATCCCACATCCCCACTTTTCTTCACCCCTATATCCCACATCCCCACTTTTCTTCAGCCCTATCTCCCACATCCCCACTTTTCTTCACCCCTATATCTCACATCTTCACTTTTCTTCACCCCTATATCCCACATCCCCATTTTTCTTCACCCCTATATCCCACATCCCCACTTTTCTTCACCCCTATATCCCACATCCCAAAAGTGTGTCATCCCCTCCTCTGTATTTTATAATCAGTTTATTATATTATAGTATATGCTTGAGTTCACACAAGGTTTCAATTGACTTATATAATCTGACCCGCTATTCAGAAAAGCCAATTGTACTATACACTGCATCAACAAAAAATTGTAACCACAGAACTATATCACCTTTGTAAAATAAGATAATCCGGATTAAATCATATATTTGGGATGCGTTCCAATAATTTGTTGGTATATTGACCTGTAGGTTACGTATATAAATATGAACAAGGAAGTTCTTTTTGTTTGGAAAACACAAATCTAAACGGATATTACATGAGTAACAATGGAAAATAGTTGATTTGCAATTATGACTATGATATAAATGTTCTCTTAAAGTTGTGTTTTACATTCAAAACTTCCTTGTAATTGAAATGTGATTTTTTTAATATTTCACCACTGCATTTATTAATGTAAGTAAATAGTTATACTCAATCAAATGTAATCATTTCATAGTGTTCATTTACATGGAAAATTAAGATTTTTTTTTCTCATTTTCTAGTGACATGGGTTTTTAAGAAAAAAAAAGACTCCGATTACTTTTATTTATACAATGCTAAATAATTATTGAAAAAACATTTCAATGTACATTTTCTAAATGCACGTGTTGTAAGGTTGCAACTTAACAAATATTCTTAGACAAATGATTTACTTGAATGTTCGATTGATTGATTGATTGATTGATTGATTGGTTGATTGATTGATTGATTTGATTGATTGATTGGTTGATTGATTGATTTCTAAATGTTGTTGCGTGTTCACTTCTTACGACCAATTTTTACATGTATCTTCTTCTTTTTAACAGAATATCTGTATGCAGTTTGATTATGGAACTGTTAGCTGTTGTAGTAGTGGCTGGTATTTTACAAATCTTACCGGACTTTATTGGTGGTACCTGCATCAACAGAAATTACCCAGTCCAGGAAGGTATGGAATTACCGTAATATAAAGGGTAACATGTTTATAATGAATATTTTAATTCAATTCAATTCTTTATTACTTTAAGCACATTATGCTCATCAGTACAAGAGTAAAAACAATTACATATTTATAACATAAAATGGCGTAATACATCAGAGAAGCAAATAAACATCAATTATTGACCACTAACAGTTCAGTCCTATGATTAAGTGTATTAAATAGGAATTTACACAAATTACGCAAATCTTTGACATTTCAGTGCTGAGAAGTTGAACTAATTTGAACGACGATGGAAGCCTAATAATGATAAGGTTTAATAAACTGTCTCCTTAAATCACTATAACATTCACATTGTAATACAAAATGGAATTCATCTTCAATGGTATTCAAAGTACAAAGAGCACATTTTCTGTCTAACCATTTTACTCCATAATAACATCCTACTTCAACAAACAAATTATGCGAGGACAATCTCGTACGAGTTAAATACACTCTAAAATTCATATGTTCAGTGAGATAATTCTGTAAACTTACATTATTGACAATATATTTATATAAAAAACACTTAGATGAAATGTTTATTTGATCATTTAAAGTCTATTTTGCTTGATCATATAATATTGTTTTTACAATCAATAATAAATTACTATCAATAATCAAATTGTCTTGGTTATACCAAATCTCATTTAAACCTAAATTAAATAATAATTGTTGAAGTTGATAAATCCAACTGCTTCTATTATTACAAAAATTATACAGCTGTTCCCTATAGCAGTATTTAAGAATACAGTTGCTTGAGTATAATGATTTTAACCAGCACTTCACTATTTTATACATTCTAAAATATATCAAAGGATATCGACCCAATTCAAAATAGACCATAACATTTGTTGTACACTGTTTAATACCAAAATATTTTTGAAAAAATCTAGTTGTATTTTTTCAATATTTGGAGCTTTATGGAAGCCCCATATTTCACAACCATAACCTTCGACTTTAAACCAAAAACAGCTTTCCTACTTTCAAACCGATAGAAAACACAAAGTAGTTACACCTATGCTTACACTAACGATGGTTATAGGAAACAAAAGAGAGAAGTGCGATACAACCATTAGTTGGCCTGTGCTGTGAAAAATTTATTCCTACTGAGATTGGTCTTTCTTATTAGTGTTTTTGTTTGTTGCCTTCTTTGAATATGTAATTTTTATAAATTTTTGTTATGATTTCCGAAATCAATTGTGACAGTTCAAAATCTCGACTTTTCACTCAGTACATAGTATTGTGCTGAGATATTACATATTCATGATTTGATATCAATATTCTAACAGAACTGTAGAAAGCGTTTTTTGTGTGTCTTTTTTGTTTTTCGGTTTAAGAACCATTTTAAAGTGGCATCTGTTTGGCTGCGCAAATTGTATAAATCGACATAAAGATCACCATGACCACACAAAAAGTGATGGGTATAAATAAAAATAATAAAAAAAACCAGAAAAAAAGTGTTCAAAGAAAATCAAAAGTATCTACTATTCGCCTGGTCCTCCTTGCTGAGCAGGAGAGTTTCTATTGCGAGGTTATGATAAACGCAATTCATCTTCGAGTTTATTGCATATGTAAAAGGGACACTTTGTATATCTTTAAGTAACGAATCGATATTTACTATTGTTTTTCGCTGGTTTGTGAAGAACATTATAATGTATTTATAACATAAATATTTTTATGTCTTAAGAATTATGAAAACTGCTATTTTCATTGATTTGAAATTGACTTCAGATATACATTAATTTATTTTGATTAAATCAGGCCATGGGTTTTTCTCTTTTCATTTGTTTCACAATTTACAACGCTGCATGGGGTCTTTTATAGCCTAGGAAACGAGAATTTTACTCTAGAGGAGGAGGACGGAGAGGGAGCGGGGGTGTGGTTTTTCTGTAAAAGAAATATTCTGATTTCCAACCATAAAGAAATAGATATTTTGATCAAGAAAAGGAAAAGAGGAAAAAAACAAATTCCTGATTGAGAGTTTTTGGCATTAAATTTGATGTTAAAATCTTTAAAAAAAATAATTTGATGCTTGTGTGATACACAAAAATATTTAAGAATGTAAAAAAAAAACATAACCCCCTTAAAGATAAATTGTCGTTCCTTACTATACCGAAAAAAAATATACAAACATTTTGATTTTGAATATAGTCTCCAACAACTATGCTTATCACTGAATAGCGTTGTACTGTTATTTATTTACATAGAGTAAGTTGTATGCTGGTCGCTAGTTCGTCTATATATGACGATATGCTAAATATGCTAGTACCCATGTTAAGGACAACATAAAAATATTAATTCTATGCTAATAACTTTATTCCAAATATTGTTCAATCAACTTCCATAACTTGGAAACTAACACATGAACATAAGTTGTCATAGTTTCCGATACAGAGTCAGTGACTAATTATGCTACAAGTGCATTGCTTTATAGACAGGGAATTTGTGTTTAATCATTTTGTTTTAGTCTTTTACATATTTCAAGCATTACCAATTCATTTTTATTTTGTAGACTTAAAAATATTTGACGAAAATCAAATAGCAGATTTTGATTATGCCCAATTTGGTAAGTCAAAGACAATCGATTGCTGTGCACATAACGTCAGCAGAATATTGTGGTATTTCTGGAACAAACAATATCCAGAATGGCGGCTATTTCCATGGGAACCATATTGCAGTATTTGTGATAACCGACCAAAATTAGAAGATAACAACCAGACATTAGTGCTAATGGAGACCGGAAATGGAGATTCTGGAATTTACAGATGTATAGCAATGTCTGAAAACAATAGCATAGCGGAACACAACACAACTATAGAAGTATTTTGTAAGTGTTTTGTATGCGAATATTATATCAAATGTAATAGATCTTAAAACAGAAAAGAGAACACAATCTTTTCGAAATCTATACAGAGTCTGTCCCAAGTCAGGAGTCTGTAATTCAGTGATTATCGTTGGCTGCTGTCTGTCATATTTGTATTCTGTTTATTGTTTTACCATAAATCCAGCCGTTGGTTTCGCTCATTATTGAATGCCGTACTGTGACCTCTAGTTGTTCACATCTTCGTCCTTTGGTCTCGAGCGGATAGTTGTCTCATTAAAAATCATATCCTTTAATTATTTTTATATTATGTTATACATTTATTATCCTGCTTTTATTCCGGTAAGTTGTAAAACAAGGTGTTCTCTTGTATTGATTCATTGAATTGTAATAAAATGCCATTTTTAATATGCAAATTACGACCATTGCCAGCATTCCATTATTGATCTTCGGTTTCAGCATCTCTTAAATGTGTTAAAATAGTTAGTAACACATCACAGAAATGCTCGTATCTTTAAGGCAAGGCAGTTAAATCCAAATTTATGACCCTACTGTACCACAAACCAATATGAGTCTTTATTTTTAGCATTTTTGACCTTTCTAGTATAAGGCTGGCTAATTGCTTCTAAATTAAAAGAAATTGAAGAGCTTTAAAAGAGTAGGAGAATGGTTATTATCGACATTGGGCATTAATCGAGGTCATGAGCAATACAGACAGACTCATTTTGTGCCACCAGTCAAACTCCTCTAGGGGAAGTTGTATTCTTCCACAATAATTAAATATATTTGTGATATTGTTTAGTAAAAGGTTTGTCAAATTTACTGGTTTTAAAAGCTTCCAGTAATAAAAATTACGTTTATTGAAATCTGAAATGTCATTGAACCAACTGAGAGAGTGCACTCCCTAAGGAGTCAACTAGTCGGATGGTAAAACAAATTCAGCAAAACTTGGCATGACTTCTTTGCATTTCATGTGAAAATCAAATTATTTTTATTTTATATGCATAAAACTTTTTATTTTGACACAAGCTTGTACAGAGAGACAAACGCCACTATATATAGTCCCTCAAGACAAGTATGTCAGTATTGGTGACACCGTTACATTTTCTTGTGCTGGAGATTTTGGTTGTACAATTGACAAATTCAGAAACGTGGAATGGTATGATGAGAATTATGATTTTATAAATAAGTCTAGATACTTCACCAGCTATGCAGAAAAGTAAGTTGTTTTGATACTATTCATGTTTATTTTTAAGTTTGAGATATGATTTGCTATGGAAGGAATAAAATTTAACACACCACAATATAAGCATCTCTCTGACTTTACATTTCTTTCTTTCTTTTCCGCTTTGAAATCTTTTGGATTTATGCGTTTTCTAATTTCTCAGATTGTAAATGAGACCTTTATTGTTGTATTCTTATTTCAACATAAAAATAATAAGTATTTTTACTGTCTACAAGTCAATATTATAATGGTCTTTATCTTATTCATTCTTTGAAGAAAAAGGGTTGTTGGTAATAGAATATATTTACACCTGACAACACTCCGGGGGTCTGCACAGAACCATTAATTTAAGCAACATCGGTTCTATTTCTGTTTCTCAACAGTTCCTGGAAGATCTTCAAGCTGAGCTTTGCTTTGCAATAACAAACGTCATCAATGTATGATTTTTTGTATACATGTTGATGTAAATACTTAAATTTTCAGACACGGTGAAACACACGTAGAAGCCAATCTAACTATTAAAGCCATCAAGGAGAGTGATTTTAACAAAACTTTCATCTGTCTTGTATCATCAACGTCTGATTATAAGTATTTTGACGTTCATATTTTCAAGAAACGTAAGTATCAAGAATATTTTTGTTATTATGGCATACTTGGTTCCGTTCGTTCGTGAATTCTTTTATATATTTACATCTATTTAGAAGAATGAATTATGTATAGTGGGCGAAGCGAACTCAATTGACATTGCTACATGCGCTGCAATGGCTCATAGAACAAGTCTCGCATTTTCTTTAAAAAAAAACTCAAATATAATCCCCACTTGATTAATGGTACTAGCTACGGAGCCCAGTTATTAAATATAAATATATTGTGCGCACAATATAATTATATAATATTAAATCCAGCGAGCGCAAAATATATTTATATTAAGCGCACAATATATTTGTTTTATGTATAGGACCCTAACGGGTCTCCGTAGAAGTGTATTATTAAAGCTGGCCGTAAAACTTGTTCTAAATACTTCTGTTCATGCACATTGTTTTCGTTATAATTACATTGTAATAATATGATTTCCTTTAATCTACAATTCGTTATATAAACCCCTGATGTAAAAAGTATAGTATTGTTAAAGAACATGTGAAATAATAATAATAATAATAATAATAATAATAATAATAATAATAATAAACGGGATCGCCCCGATTCTACAAAAACAATAAATAAATTCAACAAATACTTAGTTTAGTATAGATTTAGTTAATAATTTAAAATTGTCTTTATTTCATACAGGAACAACTGTAACTGTCATAAATACTACTACTACAAAAAAGATGCATCTACCAGCTGGTGTTATAGCTGCCATTGTTGCATCAGGAATTTTCATAGTAATTGGTCTTCTTCTTCTGTTGTTTCGTCCGAGAGTAATGTTGTTTATACTATCTCGCATACCATGTGGTCACCTCGCTGATAAAGGTTAGTTAAGTAGAAAATAGAATATATTTTGTGGTCACCTCGCTGATAAAGTTTGTTTAAACAGAAAACGTTATCCACTACAATAATAAAGGTTAGTAATTCAAAAGTAGAAAAAAGTAGTCTTCTTCTTCCATATACTGCCCACATTCAACTTTCTGAATATACTGGCAAATTGGTTCTGCATGGTTAAAACAGGATAAAAACAAATGTTCATCTTATTTTGTAAGGTTGGTCATTTGAGATTTGAATGTCTCAAATGACTGTGCTGTGGCGATCTCCGGGGGAAGCTTGTTCCAGTCTTTGGTGGTGTTCACAAAGAAGGACCATTTGCTGCAGTCTTTGGTTGCTGTTTGTACCATGTATCCATGCTGTTATGTATGTCTGGATACTCTGGTTGATCTCTGGAGGTACATGTCTTTGTTGATGGCTACTTTGTCGTTGACGATCTTGTACATCATTGCGAGCCTGGCCTCTCTGCGTCGTTCTTGGAAACTTTTCTAACCCAATTCATTAATCATGTCCGTGACACTTGATCTGTTTCTGTGGCGCTTGGTGACGTATCGCGCAGCCCTCATTTGAACTTTTTCAATTTGGTCAATATGTTTCTGATGATATGGGTCCCATACTGTTGTGGCATATTCTAGTTGGGGCCTTACTAGAGTTTTGTAAGCTTGCTCTTTGATGCTTTTAGAACCGATGTGTAGATTTCTGTGGAGGAAACCAAGGCTTCTGCTGGCTTTGCTGGTAATGTTGTTGATGTGTTCTCCCCAGTCTAGTTCGCTTGTGATGGTGCAGCCCAGGTACTTAATTGATGTTTCATGTTTTAGTACATGATCATGTAATACATAGTACCATTTGATTGGCTTTTTCTTTCTGGAGACAGTCAGTACGCTACACTTTTCTGGGTGAAACTCCATCTTCCACTTTTCCTCCCATAGTGCCAGTTTATCAAGGTCTGACTGTAGGTGTCGGCAATCAGTATCTGAGGCGATGGTTAAGTAGACTACTGTGTCATCAGCAAAGAGACGAACTGTTGATTTTAGGTCATTCGCTAGGTCATTTATGTAAAACAAAAATAGACTAGGGCCTAGGACTGACCCTTGTGGAACTCCAGATTGTACCTTTGCTCTGTCTGACTGTTCACCCTCAACTACTACTACTTGGGTTCTATTTGTCAGGAACGCTTCTATCCAGCTGTTGGTCTTTCCCCTGATTCCATAGTGATTGAGTTTATGTAGGAGCAGGCTATGGGATACCTTATCGAATGCTTTTGAGAAGTCTAGTATCAGTAGGTCAGACTGTTTTCCCAATTCAAGGTACTTCGTTAAGTCATCAATGCATTCTAAGAGTTGCGTCTCGCAGGATAGTTTACTTCGAAATCCATGTTGTAGCGGATAAAGGATGTTGTTTGCCTCTGCGTGTTTCATAATGTGGCTGGTAACAATATGTTCGATGATCTTGCAGCAAATACATGTAAGAGATATTGGTCTGTAATTTGCTGGGATGTACTTTTGACCCTTTTTGTATGCTGGTGTGACTGTAGCTGTCCGCCAGTCATCTGGAACTTTGCCTGTCTCCATTGAAACATTAAATATGATGGTAAGTATGGGAGCGATTTCGCTGGCAAGTTCTTTGAGTATCATTGGTCTGATGTTATCCGGTCCAGCGGCTTTGTGTGGGTTAAGGTTTCTCAATTGTTTTTCTACTCCGTTGATTGTGATAAGGATGTCTCTACAGTCAGGGTAATTTTCTGGTGAGTCGGACATATGATTTTGATTGTAGAATTCACTGTTGCTGATGTTGTTTGCTGTGGAAAATACAGATTGAAATTGTTCATTTAATATGTTTGCTTTGTTGATTGGATCTGTTTCTAAGCTACCATTTTTTCTTAGAGGTGCCACTCCAATTTTATCACTTTTTCTGTGCTTGATGTATGTCCAAAATCTTTTAGAAGGGGCATGTGTTTCTTCAGGATTCTCTGGGGTGATAATACTTTCAATATACTTCCAATATGCTTGTCTTAGGCTTTTCTGTGCTGTCTTTTTCAGTTCTTTAAATCTTGCACAATCGTCAGGATGGTTTGATTTCTTTTTCTTTTTATATGCTCGGTCTTTTCGCCTTATGAGTGATTTTATTTCCCGTGTAATCCATGGGTTCTTATCTTTGGTCTTACAGGTTTTTGCTGGTATATGTTTGTTTGTACTTGTTTCAAGACCGTCTTTAAACATTTTCCATAGCATATTTATGTCTGGTCTATCCGTATTGCTTTCTTGTTGAATAGCATTGTGTAGATGTTTCATATCTTCCTTCATGCTGTCCCATTTCGCCCTCTTGTAGAGGGGGATTTTTCGTTGTTTCTGTTTGTTTGTTACTGGGTTGATGCTCATTTCAGCATATACGATGTCATGGTCTGATATTCTTGGTATGATATCTATTCTCATTATTTTGCTAGGACGGTTAGTGATCAAGAGGTCCAGAGTGTTCTTGTTTCTTGTAGGCTCTTGCACTAGCTGTGTTAGTCCGTTGTCGTCAAGGATTTCTGCAAAATGGTAATGTTGTTCTGTGTGCTGTGTTCCCTGGTATAGACATTTGTTTGCCCAGTTCCATCCTGGCAAATTGAAGTCCCCTCCGATCAATTGGCATGCATTTATTGCGCTGGTTCTTCTGACTGATGTTTCAAATGCTTGAAGACTTTCAACATCCGATGTTTTTGGGTTATAGTAGGCGCATATGTATAGATCTTTTGTGCCTTTCTGCTGTATCCGTGCCCAAATTATCTCACAATCTGTGTCCAGTTCTGGTACCTCAGAGCTTAAATATTTGTTGTTTATGGCTATTAGGACGCCTCCTCCGGTTTTATTTCCTTTCCTGTCTTTGCGATATATATTATATTCTTGTGGAAATATTTGGCTGTTCGTAATTGATTGATCTAGCCATGTTTCTGTTGCTATTATAACATCAGGTTTGGTACTATCTATGATGTTTTCAACTTGGTGTTGTTTGTTTCTTATAGACTGACAGTTGACATTCAACATTCGCAATGGTGTAAAGGGCTTATGTTTTTCCTTTACATTATTTCGTTTTGGTGTTGACGAATGTAGTGGCTTTCTGTTCTGTGTTTCAGTACTGTTGTTAAGAGTATTTTCCAGTGGGCTGAAGCTGTTTTCTGTTTGGATGGATGTTGAGCCGTAACACAACGAGTTGTAGTTTGGGCTGTCGCAAACAATGCAGTCCCATCTTAAAGCAGTGTTTTCGTCTGCTGTGAGGTAACTATATGTGCCACTATGAATGTCCTGACAATTGATGTGAAACCACTGGTCGCATGTGTCACATGTGACAGCTCTGTGGTCCCAGGTGACAGGTTGGTCACATGTGCCGCAGGGGTATATTGTGCTGTTGTGGTAGTGGTCACGTCGCTGATAAAGATTAGTAAAGCAGAAAATTTTGCTCACATACCATGTTGTCATCGCGCTAATAAATGTTAGAAAAGTATAAAATATTACTTACAATGTGGTCACCTCGCTGATAAAAGTTAGTTAAGTAGAAATGTGGTCACCTCACCAATAAAGGTTAGTAAAGCAGAAAATGTTACTCGCATACCATGTGGTCATCTCGCTGATTTATGTTAGATAGAAGAAAACATTACATATCATTTCGTCACAACGCTGATAAAGGTTGGTAAAGCAGAAAATGTTACCCACATACCATGTGGTCACTTCGCTGATAAGGTTAGTTAAGTAGAAAATATTACATATCATGTGGTCATCGATCTTGTTGATAAAGATTAGTTGAGAAGAAACTCGCATTTTATATGCACACCCCGCTTATAAAGCAGGTCACATCAAAGAACACATGATAGGCTGGTTAGGCTGGTATTGCATGATTTACAGCAAGTGTTTTAATATTTCCCACAGAATCATATATATTATTCCTATTTTTTTTATTTATTTTTTTGTTTGTTAGTTTTTTTTAAATTTTTAAGTGAATTTATAAAAAAAAGCGGGATATACGCCAATGAGACAGCAAATCGACGACACAAATGATCAAATTTCATCTATTGATCACTGAACAGCCTTCAACAATTGTCCTATAAATTAGTCTTAATTATAGGCTACTCTCTTATTCAGATAAATGATTCTAACGATTTTAAAAAGTAACCAGACTCTCGAAAAAAAAATGCCAATTTCAATTTAATGACAACGTAAGATGTTGGGCTGTAAATTGAGCGATGATAAAACAACTGGATGATTGCATTATTTGTTACATTTTTAACATAATGGCCTTTATGAAAATGAACATGCAAGGTATGTCTTGAAACCGCAATTTTATTGTGATGTCATTGAAGTTGTGTCATAGTGGGAACCCAATTTAAGAAAAAAAGAGACTATTTCACGCACATTTCGGCGACAAACAAACAAACAATAATTTATTTTGAAACACTAAAACACATATGCATGTGTAACAAGAGGCAAAATACATAATCATATTTATGGTTTCTACAGAACAAATTGAATGTTAACATAATCATATATATATATTCAAGAGAGTATAATTACAATATTTTAACTTATTGATGAGTTGATTAGAGCACAAACGTCGCCCAAAATGATTATTTTTAGGCAAGTTGATAACCACAAAATGCACTTCCTATGTGATACCTTTTTGGGCAAGGCTTGTGCTTTGTATTATGTTTTACCATCTGCGAGTCTATTTGTCTTTTCAGGACTGTATTGCCAATGAATGGCAAATATTTAAAAAAAAAACGCAATGTTTTATTAAAGGTACATATATATGAAAATAAGAAGATGTGGTATGCTTTCCAATGAGACAACTCTCCACCAGAGACCAAATGACATAGAGTCAACATTGAATTCTGTGAAATTGAGAAAATTTTAAATACAATTCATTTTAGGGCCAATTTGTCCCCAAATCGTACCTTCTCCTTATATGACGAGACTTCATGAAATCTGGAGTGTTGTTTTGGATTTTTTTCTGCAGTATCCAACCAACAGATTTAGCTACTTTAGGTAGCTTCTGTTCGTTGTTTGTCTTTGTTTGTACGTCTCTTTATTTTCGTATGAGTCAGGCGCTGGTGGTTGCTGTTCAGTTTTGTTGTTGATTCCTGTTATCTTTTCTTTTATTTTCAAAACTTTTATAGACAATTTTAACATCGATACAATTAAAACATGTTTTACTAGTATACATTAATGAAAATGTATTTTTTTTACACAAATATGAAGCTATCAAAGTCAAGGTTCTGTAAACGCTGAAATCAAAGTAAATTTTAGTTCCAGATTTAGTATGCTTAATGTTTTTGACGGGAATATTTCCTTTGATCAAACATGGTACGCCGCTTGAGAAAAAACAGTACTTTTGCAAAGTATCCTCATTAACAAACCTTTCTACCATTTATTCAATAATGATGATAATTCTAGTTTAATCGAATGATGACCATATGTTCAGTTGGGCTGAAGTACTTAAAGATAGTTGGAATCGATTCCAAGGAAAAGAAAATGGGCGCTGTTTGTTATTTAGTTTTTTATGCCATTTAAATTACCCCATTGAAATTATGAAAATATGTAATGTTCACATCTCTGTCCGTTGTTCTATATGGATAGCTGTCTCACTGGCAATCGTACCACAATTCCTTATTTTTATATATAGGGAACAAAGACTTCCATGCCTTGATATTACACGAAGACGAATGTGAAGATAGAAAACTAGCAGAAAAATTAAAGACTAGACTGGAAGAAGATGCTTATTCTGTAATAATGTCTTCTGATGTTCCAGGAGGTCAAGGTAGGAATAATGATAATAAAAAATGGCGACAAGAATTCAGAACAAGACACTTTTGAATTGATATTTTCTGCTTTTCATATTTCTTTTCCTGGGCCGGCACATACTAGGTCAGAGTAGATGTTATGTCTTCTCGAGGACTGTTACTTTGCAGCATATTCTAACGATTTTGTCATTTATGTAGTTTTGTTAAGCACTAAGGACAATATTACACTGAAATCAATAATTTTTTTATCTATTATATATATAAGTACGTCTAAACAAGTGACAACTCTACGACAGATGCATGCATTGGATCACCAGTGAAGGTGATACACGGCTGAAAACACATATTATATTCATAATTACTGTATCAGCACAACAATGTTAAATCTGCAAATTTGCGGAAGCAAATATTTTTGTTCTTCCCTCGCCGGGATTCGAACTCATGCTATTGGGATATCATGACAACACCGCCTGCACTATATCCAGCGCCTTAGATCACTCGACTACCTAGACTAAACTTAAAATTAAGCTTTCGGTGGCCTAGTGTTACCTCTCCTCGTCAGTAGAATCTAGAGTTGTAACACAGTACATGATATATTAGGCATGAAGATGGAGTTGATTGCAGATTAGCTAAATTATCTGTCGTAAAGGACTGCATCTTACGATCCCTCACGACAATCTAAACGAATTATATATGATCCATTTTGTTACATCTGGTGATCCGTTTATTTGGCAATCGCCATGGCAGTCAGAAGGGTTTAAGAACATCGTTCGACCTGCTAGTCAAATGCGTTTTGTTAAAATATACTTTTCACTTTTTTGGTCTTTTGGAAAATGTTGTTTGTGCTGTATTTAGACCCCTCTACCAAGAAACTTGTTTTGCATGCACACGTATAAAAATTGCAAAAATATAAACAACGTTCAAACCTATGATTGCGTTGGATAAAAATCGCAATTTTTATACGTGTGCATTTGACTAGCAGGTAGAACAACGAATGTTCTTTAAGCTTTCTAAATGCTATGGCGATTGCCAAATAAACATATTTTCATAAAAAACACATAAATCAGGTAAGTAGAAAATAAAATATCAGTATCATTTTTCTAACGTTTTCATCCTTCACGGGACTTTTCAAGATATGTAACTAATTAACGTTACCACGGGGGTAGTGTGACGTTACGTTATTATTGTACACAGATTGCGTACTTCCTTTACGCATTTAGCTTTGCGTTGAATGTTTTAATAAAGCGCTTCTCCAGTACTGGTCTGTATTCCTTATCATCTCGACGACATCTGTAGAATGGGAAAATTTTTAATTTCCCGTTTGCGCATATGTCTAAGCGTTCACTTAGTGTTCAAAGCAAATCTAAATGCGTAAGGGAAATTCGCAATTCATATTTATTTACAGATATTTTACGAGCCCTTGGCGATTTCTGTCAGAAGAGTGGCAGCTTAATAATTATTTATCCAACAAAAGCTTGTAGTGAAATATTTCCTAGAGAACTTGCAGCACAAAACTATTTCAAACCAAGTCTGATTACAGTCATTGTAAAACAGAGAGGAATTGAAAATCGTGTAGAAGCTCTGGAAGACAGAGGTCTTAGGAAGATAACTTGGCCGGATAAAGGGGTTTGTTCGCTTTTCGAAGAGACAAATTTCTATAGTAAACTTAAACTCAGAATGCCTAGAAGGAGTTCACGAAACACAAGATGTTGCACATTTTGTAGGTTGAACACTTCAGCTTATAGTGATCACATTTCAGAACAAAGTTATTCGACTCGACTTTAATTTAAAAGATAATTAATATCATGATTTACTTTCTTATAGCACAAGGTGGTTACCACGGGATTTCTACAACTAAAGGGATACAATGTATATAGAAGCCATAGAACATTATTTAACTCAACTGAATGTTAATAGTGTTGTTCCATTTTTTAGCATGATTTAGTTTCCAAATATGGGAAAATATGTAGTCAACTATTAATAACATATCAAATGATTAGATATATTTGTGAAAACTGCTGATATTTGTAATTTGATTGAGAAGTGTGAAAGGTTCGGTTTTTTTATCATGTTTGCCACAGAAAGTATTTTTTTTTATAATGGTTAATATTCTCAAAAACTAGTAAAGAGAAAATAACAGTTCATATATTATACATATTTTGTTTTACATTTGTAAAAATAAATAACACTTTCAAAGTCTGGTTCCTTTAACCAGGAGGACATACTCTCACTGATATGTATCGTATAAATGTACACATTCTTCCAGTTCAACAACATTTCCAGATGTGAATAGATGATTAGATATAATAGTGTCAAATCTTAGACGATTTGGAAAATGTTTTCCCTTTTTATATTTTGCCTTAATAAATTTCATCTATTGTAACAGTTTGGATTAACCCAATTTTCAGAGTATGAAAAACAAAATTGCATTAAAAAAGTTTTTAGTTAAATTTCAGAAGCCAAAATTATATGCAAAATCTTACAAAAAATTATGATATCGCCAACCATCTGTAGCTTGAACTTAAACCTAAAAAGGAAGATCAAAAGGATAACTTATAAACTCATCTGTATTGTAAACAAAATATAACACTGACGTTAGGCAAGCAACAACCAATCATTCATTCAATATAAACAATATACCCCACGGGGGTTTGGCAAGCAACCACCAAATATTCAGTATAAACAAAATATGCCACTGGACGTGAGGTAAGCAACAATCAATCAACATGAAAAAATATGCCACCGGACGTTTAGCAAGCAACAAACAATCATTCTATATAAACAAAATATGACAGTAGTCGTTTAGCAAACAACAATCAAACATTTTTTTATAAACAGAATATGTCACTGGACGTTTAACTGGCAACAATCAAACATTTTCTATAAACAGAATATGTCACTGGACGTTTAACCGGCAACAATCAAACATTTTTTATAAACAGAATATGTCACTGGACGTTTAACCGGCAACAATCAAACATTTTTTATAAACAGAATATGTCACTGGACGTTTAACCGGCAACAATCAAACATTTCTTATAAACAGAATATGTCACTGGACGTTTTACCTGCAACAATCAAACATTTTTTATAAACAGAATATGTCACCGGACGTTTAACAAGCAACAATCAAACATTCAATATGAACAGAATATTCCACTAGACGTTAAGCAAGTAACAATAAATCAATGTATACTGATTAATTTCTGGAGTAGACTTTTGAATGGAAAGGTAGTAAAATCTGTGCTGTATTATTATTATAAAAACATATATGGATATTATTTTAAATAAAACTGTTTTTGATAATTGTGGTATGTCAAATAATATAGTATATGGAATGCACAGTTTGCTGATACATGGGTGTCAAAAAAAGTATTAAGCAGGGAAACTATTAGAGAAAATCTCCTAGTTGGAACTTGCGTTCCGCTATTTATATAAAAACGTCGTTTAGTGTTGATGTAATCCACAAGTTTTTCACAATTGTCATTATATTTGGTCCATGTGAGCTATTCATTCTGTAAAATACGGAACGCAACAGCGGACATCTGCATCCATCAAGTATGACCACAATCATAATATAAACACAACTATGAAATTAACACAAATTAATACTGCAGTAACAATATAAGCTTTCAAATCACCAGGGCGTAACACTACCTCATTCCTACCTTATATGAACAGTATGTGTAATCAAATATGAGTGTATGCATGCCATGTAGATGTCATTTAATCTAAGAACTTAAGAATCAACACATAATGTCATACTTCGTGAGTGCAACGAGTCTAAACCAGGGGTGATCTCAGGTGTACCGGGAGAGTAAGCATATCCTGCTCCACATATAACACTCGCCGTGTTACTCCGATGAAATATATTAATAAGTTATATCAAGTGATTAGGCATCACGCAATAACGGTTTGGTAATTGACTCTTATCTAACCATAAGAATTACCAAAATTCATAAGCCATCGGTCATGTACATTTTTAACTCTGAAACTTGACAGAATGTGAAATTTTGAAATTCAAACATGTTTTTTTTTTAATTAACCGGTTCTGTGGTGAGTTTGTTTTTATTGTATTCAGTGCATTGTCGGTTTTAAATACAACTATTCATTGTAAAGTTTACTTCGACAGCTTTAGATCAAAGACAGGAAGATCACACTAACTTAATTGAACGATTCATTAAACTTTTGTTTTTAACATTTCAGCATGTTATTTTTGCATTATATTCAGGACTGAATAGTCGAACACATTTAAAACACAAACGTTTAAACAAATTATACGAAACCGATACTAATCAATAAACTCATTATAGATACCAAGATTCAATTTTTTTACGTCAGACGAGCGTTTCATTTACAAAAGACTCACCAGTGACGCTCGAATAAAAAAGTTAAAAAGACCAAATATAGTACAAAGTTGAAGAACATTATAACAATATCAATGATATTCCATGTCAACACAAGTTATTATCTCTAAGGGCAAACTTTTCTGACAAATCCATTAGAACCACAGCGAAACATTTTTTGTTTAATTATACAGGCATTCCAGCTTAAACACAGTTTTGGTTTGCTTGTTCTTCAGATCGTATTTGATCTGGTCTAGTCTTAAGTTGATTTATATCTCTAAAGACTTGTTCTCTTAAATGTGATAATTGTATCTCCATATATTCTTTTACCTGTGTAAATTGATCGTGAAAGTTGTCTTCTATCATAGACAATCTTTCAGCATTTTCTTGTGTCACCATGTAAAATATATCATTTCATTTAAGAGATTTAGATATTTCTCCTACTGACTGAGAAATAGCTGATGAACTATTTGATTCATGCGAACTTGTTCTCATTTCATGTGTTTCATTTAACATTGTATCATCACTAGCATTTGATGATCTTTTGTACATTGTAAAGCTTACAGCATTAGATCAAAGACAGGAACACCACACCAACTTAAAACTGATCAGATTAAAAAGAATCGTCAATTGTATAAAAGAATAATTCTTCAAACATACGCCACATATATTGTTTTTGAATTAATAATTTTGAACCCCATTTCTTTCACCAGTGTAAAGTTCCGAGGTTTTCGAGTCAGGATTCCATGCGTTATTTATGTGGGCCTCTAGTGAAGGAGATGATTATAAAAATCATAATGGAAGTTCATATATTGTATTATTTGCCGCTTGAGTAATTATCAATCACTAGTAAATGAGTTTTGATCTTAAACAGTCATTTTGATCTTAACATCACCTGTTCGGACTTATCCACTGTGGTAAATTCAGTATTGTTTAAACAGTACGCTTGCAGTCAATCCAGTACTGTTTAGTGTTTTGTAGCTTTTCAGACAATTCAGTATGATGTTGATGTAAGCAGGTAAGTAACAACTACTGGACAGTATGAACATAGACTGACCAGATCTTAAATAAATGCAAGCAAATTAGTAGATTTAACGAAGTCGTTTTCTTATAATAGGTCCATTTAAGCAATGCCGTCTGTAAAATACGGAACAGAACACAAAAACGAACATACCAAAGTAATGATATAAAAACTATGAAATTTACACATGTTAATATTACAGTAAAAAAATAAAAGACAGGCGACAGTCTACAAAACACAACATAGAAAATTAAAAACTGAGAAACACGAACACCACCCAAAATCGGGGGGATCTCATGTTAGAAACAAAAGGATATATCGTTGATACCTGGTTGTCATACAAGGAAGGGCAGACAATACACATTTATACGACATTCACATTCAAAAAGTTCAAACCACTTAGAAGTAGGTGCATACATGGTGTATATCTATCATACAGTCATTCAGTCATATTTGAGAATGAAGCAATACTACATGTATAACTTGTTGATCTAGTGAGATTTGGAAAGAAACATCCCTCTATCCCACAAACCCAGAATGTAAAGAAACTCGGATTTAGCACCAGCTGAAAAAAAAACTCTCCAGCATTAATATTTTTAATTTTTGTGAGAAGATGGCCAGTGCATGTGAAAAATAAAACCAATCACCAAATTGAAAGACATGCTCATTAATACGAACTGTTTTAATTAATACTATGTGTATAGAATAAATCTATATTTTGCAACTGTTTAAATTTTGCATTGATGACTCACAACTTAAAACAAATATCCAAAAATGAAAAGTTAAGCTTGAGTAAAATGAAACTAAATAGAAGATGAACAAAATTGAACTCTTGTGCTCCGGAATAAGATCTATTCCTGTTTTACAAATTGAACCCAATTGTTTATAATACCAACTGAAGTTAGCTTAGTATCTTTCATATCCCTACACAAAATCGTCACAAGGACAGTAGCTAAGCTATTTTTTTTCATGAGATACTTTACGTGATAATATACTGTAAAAGAACATCACTAGACATCACTAGACAGTGTTGCTGTTGTTATTTAAATCAAATCATGATTCAATTATGCAGATAAAAGAAGATTCAACCCCATTGGGGCATTTGTTCGTTCTTGTACTTTTTACTTACCTGCTTTTCATGAAATTTTTATAAAATCTATTAGGTGTTATATTGAACTTTCGAAATGCGTCCTAACCACCAATCAAATACAAATTTAATGAGGTATGTCTATCAAAATACAACTTTCAAGCAGAGATCTTACTGATCAATGATGCCTGAGCAATCTTTTTGGATACAGGAAAACTTTTCATTCTTCAAATATTGGAATATTGCTTTATCTCCCTGATAAATTAGTTGTTGTCTTCCCAAAGAGAGCTCTCAAATACATTGCTTTTGTGTTAAGCTCATTATATAAGCTTTTTTATCGGTGTTCCCACTGTCTGTATCACTCTGCTCAGCTCTTCATAAAATTGCATATCACGGCTTTTTGACGTCAAATACGTTAACCCGGATTAATAATTTTGACCCGGACATATCACCGACGTCACAATGAATGAACCGACGTTGATAAGTTTGACACAAACTGATGAAGTCATCTTCCGGTTTGCTGTTGAAACAAAGAAAAACTAAAGTTTCTATCATGCAAAATACGCGAATTAAATCCAATAAATCGGTTATCAGATTCTCATCATATTTGTATTGTAAAATATCTGCTGCTCGACACACTATGAAGCCTTTTTTAAATTGTTTGATGCGCTCTTTCGACAAAAAGCTTCATATTGTGACTCGCAGCTGATATTTTACAACATCAATATGCAGACAACCTGATAATCTGTATATATCTGAGCATACATGTTTATTTTTGGTGGACGTGTTTTTCGACAGACAATCGGAATTTCTACGAAAATAAACTGTCCTCCTTATCTATTCAACTTATTTCATTATTCATTTTGAAAAGTCATGATAAATTTATGGCTTGTAAAGAAAAAATAAAAGAAACTAACATTATCCTTTAACATAACGTTTCATTATATGGATAATGTCATTTCAATGAAAAATTCTAAGTGTGTTTACGGTGACTGAGGGGCCTGATGGGGGGTTCTCATCACGATTCACGAGTTGATTTTTTTGTCAATCACGCTTCACAGAAAATAAATTTCCATGATCACGGATCACGAAAATATAAAAAGAGTATAAATCTGTAGAAAAACGGATCACGATAGCGAAAATGCGCCGATCACGAAGAACGAAAATAACCCATCAGGCCCCTCGTGACTGTTAATCACATCTATCTCATTGAACTTGAAATAAACGATATCACAGATACAGTTAGTTCTGCTTTATATCTTGACTTACATCTAGACATTTTAAAGTGAGGATGGTTGATCACAAGGATATGAAGTTTAAAATGTAAAAAGTTTATTTGGCTACTCTGTTAGGTCCATTTGATCAAATAGCTCCTCACGTTGCTGCGAATTTAAAACACACCCATGGATTTCAAATGTTTAGGTTTATGTTTCCGAAAATCGCTTCGGACGCACATAATTCATAAAGTGTTTATTTCTTATATTATTGCTAAAATAAACGTATGTATCTTTGGAGATTAAATAATTCAAAGCTACTTCACAACACTAATGGAATAGATTTTACCACAGTGCTTTAAATGCCCTTTGTTCAGATGCTTTTGAATTGTCGTCCAGTGGGATTTCATAGGATTTTTGGCCTTTACACTGCAAACATAGATTTTGTAATATTTACAAATAAGTAGATATTTTGTGTCCTCAGTTCCCTCAAGAAAAAAAAACATTGCCCAGATTCTAAAGAAAATATAATTCTATTTTTTCTTCTTTAGAATATTATTTTTATTTATCAATTTTACACATTTTCACATCTTAACATTTACTTTGCTTTAACTATACAAACGGGGGAGAAAATATGAACTTGTTAGCCCGGAATGCATGGTTTTTGCAGTGCCTCTGCAAATATTGATTAAATTCAGTTTGCTATGTTTCACATTGTGTATTTGACACATATCTGCATTATCAATATGTATATGTCCTCTTATATTCTTTTGTGTCTGAGGGTAATAAAGTATTGTCTTGTCCTGGCATGTTTGGTATAGTTCAAAATCATAAAAGATAAGTAGGAAGGTGTTAAGTATGTATATTTTCTTTGTTTCTTTTTATGAGTCATGTGAATTGATTTATCCACTGTATTTCCTTTAATTTGGAAGATTGAAACATTTGTTTAAATTTAGGTGTTGACGTAATCGGGTGACCTAATAGATAGTTCATGATTGAAGGTAGACAAAAACCACATATACTGCAAAATTTTCAACAACCGCTTTAACTTTGACGGTTTCCTCCCTAATCGTATCATCAGACCAGTAGCAGTGTTTTCATTGATCTGGTCGTAATATAAATTAACTGTTTACAATTCGTTATTCTAAGGCTTTTCAATACCCTGGAAGAGATGACCTTAGCTGTTTTTGGTAAAACCTTTCGGGATTTCGGGTCCTCAATAATCTTTAGATTCGTACTTTTTTTTAACTTTTGTGAATCGAGCGTCACTGATGGGTCTTTTGTACACGAGACGTGCGTTCTTCTATTCAGCTTGATTAATTGATTAGTTTGATGTTAGAATACTTTTCAGTTTTATAACAAATGAAAAGTTTACTCTAATCGGGTCCAATAATTTTGAAAAAAATGAAATATGGGCATCTGCAATGTGATATGTGTCTTGCTCATAGCTAAAGGCGGTCAAATATAGTTGCTAACTTCTACGTCAATTAGCCACTGGTGGAGAGTTGTCCCATTGGCAATCATAACACTGCTTCCTTATATAGGTAAGGAAGATATACCAATATATGTGTATTCAAAGTAATCCATATTCTAAATGTTTTTTGAATGTTTTTGTGGGTTTTTTTTTTGTACATAAATTTTTTAATGACAAACTTCTACGAATTTAATTAAATGGTAGTCCACTTTGATAAATGCACGTTTTTATGAATGATCTTAATTATTCAAATTACATAATATTAAACAAACACAGGTAAAATTTGACTTTAAACAGTCGATTTTTGGAAAACCACCATATCATTTTTGGGTTTTTGCAAACCATTCCTTGCCAACTATGGACACTTTGTGCATGTAACGACATAAGCATCTAAGATGATTTACGCAGCAGTGCTGCTTAGTTTGATTGACCACGTGTTCTCGTCCTGTGTTTTGAAACCAAATACTACATATAATGGTGAGTAGGTTTAATCATATTTATACATTTATCAGTTATGTAATACCATTTTTTTTTTAAGGGTAGCGTTTGAAAAGAGCAATTATCAGACCCCTCAAATTTCAAAAGTGGTCAAATTCTTCAATTTTATGTCTTTACTTCTTTACAAATATGATAAGGTGTTGATAAAAGATGGTATGGTATGGTCTCTGAACCGCAGACACGTCCTTTTCCTGACACTGTGACGTGCGTCACAATTGACAATTTGATCAAAAGTAGAGTCTAAAGTAAAATTAAACATGAGCAATAGTCCTATCCATATAGATATTTCATTCATATCGGCATCTTTGAATTACACATTGTTTGGAAAATATTTTTGGGGAGTAAATTTAGGCAACAGTAATTAAACAGATGTTTAAGAAGACAAATCAAGGTAACAAACAAAAACTAAAAAACTGAGGGAATCTCAAGAACTCAAAAAGGAGTGAGACCGGGTGCGACGACAGGGTAAGCATCTCATGTTATGGATGCATCATCCACCATGTTGTTCAGATTTAGATATTGATGGGAAAATTTCAAAATAGGACAATTAATTTTCTTTTAAGAATTAAAAAAAGTTTGAAGGCATACATCAGATAAGTTAGGCAGATTAAAGTACATGTATTGCTACTGATATATTACTGACAAATGCCAGTGAACATCTGAAGTCATTTAATAGATGTATTAACATTTGTTGTAGAATTTGCCCTGTACGTTGACCTGTAATTGTTTTACATCCTAGTTCTCATGGATGATTGTCTCATTGGAAATCATGTCATACTTCCTTATTTCTATTTATAGATGTCATAAATAGATCGTAATTTTATATCTTTTGTGGGATATTTGGCCTTAAAATGGATTTCCTAACATTTTTTAATTCATGAGTGTATAATATGTATAACTTTAATGATTACCGAAAGGTTCACCGAGATGAGGGTTCATTTTGTTCGGGACGAATAGAGTGGTATTTGTTGTAAATATTTACCAGAAGTGATTACATTTATCGAATGAATAAACTCTATATAAAGGACAATCCCAACATGGTCAACTATTATCCTCAGTGTAAGCCAGTACGAGTTATCGCGCATGATTTTAATTTCTTATCCGTCTGATCAGTCTTTTCTGTGTGTGATATCTTATCAAGACAACATGCTGAGTTTGTAAAGACAATGTTGACACTCGTAAATAATTTGACAACACTAAGTAAACAATATTATAACCATATGACATTGTAGCATGCTAGGTTCCGCATGCCGTTGTATAAACTGACTTTATTTCCAAAAGATAAAATTCAATTTTACCGAATATCAAACATACAAAATAAAAAGTCGAAAAAGGACAAATACGAGATTATGATAACCAATCATATATACATGTATATATATCTATCATTAAATCGTTGGCTTGTTATAGTTTATAAAAGCACTTACATAAAATTAAAATTGTTCTTTAACAGTTTCAAAAGCAAGAGGGTTATAATTGTGAGGATATATTATATTAGATATAATATTCTTGATTTCAGTAACACCATTTTTAGAGAAGTATGCAATGAGTTGACAATAAAAATATGGATAGATGTAATTCATGTAATAACAAAATACATAATCGAGAAATAATTCACTATAGTCATCAATAGAAATGTTCACACGACGTTGTTCGATTTTGATATATCTTAAACCTTTCTTTCGACGTAAACCCGAATATGAGACAACGTAGATTTTTATCTTGTTTTACCTCCCAGAATTGTATGTTGATTTTTATTTTCACTAACTTTCAATGATTTCTGAGAGACATTTTCCTCAAAATGGGCCTTCAACACTTAATGCTACTATAGTACCATTGCCCGCGACGATTCATTTTGTTTATAAATCACAATGGAAAACACGCTACATAAACGTATTATAAGGAGAAATGTCGTATTAATAATGAATAAGTATAAATGTACAGCTAAATTTTCAAATTTCTTTAAAAATATCTACAGTTAAGACAAAAAATTTAACGATGTGAAAAGCAGCGTCTTCTATGTAAAATAAATTTGCAGATTTTGGCACTTCTATCACATTCACTGGCTAGAACAATAGACAATGTCTCCAAATTGGAAAATGTTTAAAAGTTTGGATGTTCTGACAAAATTTTTCTAAAAAAGATCAGTTCGCAGGTCATCTTACATCTTATGTTCCTCAGTTTCAACAATATTTAAACAAGTTTCACATGTTCGTTGATGCAAGGATAGGTCTCTCACTAACAATAATGATATAGTCTTAGATTACTTGTTTTTTTAAGATATAAGCCAATCAAAGCACATACTAATGAATTTATATAATGATATTCTCAAACTAATCAGCAAATTTTCCCAAAATTTCATTGCATGCCGCCTATAAACATAAAGATAGTCCCACAGAAAAAGTGTATACAATAATGTTCCGAGTATAATAAAAAAAAGGTAGATAGAAACTTTTGAAATGACGGAGACAAATTAAAAATAATATTTATTTTGTTCAATGCGATTTATTTTTCTAAAAGTTAAGTGTATAAAAGGAGAATGTGCATCAAACAAGCAATAGACTAGTAAATTCACATGTACATATATGTATCTAAAATTTTGTTTCTTAAACTGTTAAAATATTTTAGTTCAATTTATTTCAATTTTAAGCGATTGCCGTTTTGTAATCTTTAAATTAGCATTACTATATACAAATATTTTCGTATATAGTCCACACTGGCACATATGCTGCCCTTGTCTTATTCTTTTAAGACTTTGGCAATTGGTTTATCTTGGAGAATATTTTTTTTTCTCATTTGAAACTTTTGTGCATTGAAATTTACAATTTATAAAGTAAACTTGAAAAGAAAGAGGCTATTAAACCGTCAAAGAAAAAAAAAACAACACAAACTACTGAGAATAACAGAAGTCATCACATTGTCATGTGTTAATTATTTATCCATGAATATTTACCTGGTTTGACTTAGATTATTTCTGGTCAACTTCAGAAAATGATCGCAACTCGATTTTTGAAAAAATTGTAAAATTTGAAATTTATTTCGTTGGATAGATTTAAAACCAGAGAATAAATATACATGCGAATGAAGCTGTTTCTAATAAAGATTTTATGTCAATTCATTAAAAAAAACCCATGTGCACTCATTTTTGGTTTCGTATTATATGAAGTAATAGGTCGTGCACCCGGTGTTCTTTAATTGAAAAAGGCCCTAACTTCTGCAATCCTTATCAAAATACAAATTATATCTGTAGAAAGCTTATTAATTGAACTTTCAAAATTAATGCCAATGAAAAAGAAATTTAATGATATTTACAGACAGCTAATCAAAATTTAAGATTTCCTTTAACAATCTATAGTAAATTTATCGATATCGATTGTGGTCAAATTTGACGCATGCGCAAAGCTGGTGCTGATAATAGTTGCATATGTATGAATAAGTATAAGAACTAAAATTGAGCAACTTTAATAAATCAGATGTTATGATATGTTTTGTTTTGTCCGTGGTATATATACTTAAAGTGTATTGAAAAGATTGAAACTTGTCCGTGGTATATATACTTAAGGTGTATTTAAAAGATTGAAACATTGAAAGCTAACGAGTTCATTGTTGGGGGTTACACTTCTTATAACCATTATAAGATAGTAAAATCCTTAATATTCGGTTGGTATTGTAATAAAAAAACAAAAACAAAATAATCATAACGATAATAAAATCGTAAAACACGTCATACCTATGATTTTTATATATAGAGGGATTTTCAAACTGCTAACATACAAGTCTATGCAATTGAGCAAACTAATAACTATTCGGATATCTTCTGTGGCCATTCAAGTTTTTTTCCCATTAATGAAAATGCATCCTTTTCTGATTCAATATTTACAGCGTCTGAGATATTTATAAGAGACAGAATTACAGATTTTGATTATGCAAGAGTTGGAAAATATAAAAAGATTTATTGCTGTGCTCAAAACTATGATAGAATAACTTGGGAATTCAAGAAACAAGATGGATTGACGTGGCAACCGTTCCCTTGGGTTTCTTCACTTCAAGATAACAACCAGACTCTCCAGATAATAGATATTGGTTGGAATAACGAGGGAATTTATAGATGTACAGCATTCTCCAGTGAAAATGATGAAATTGCAAATCACAGTACCAAAATAGATGTATACTGTAAGCCGTTTTTTTAAATAATATTTGTATCAGAAGAATGCTTGGGAAAATGATGCTTTAATAATGTAAGATAAATGTACAAGAGTTGAAACGCTGAAAAACTCACCTGTGGTTTTGATAATGAATGAATGGTATATATGTTAAAAGCCTTTGGGATGAAGGTTTTACATCGGATATCATAAAACTATATATCGAACTTTGAATATGAAGTCAAGGTTAAGAAATTCATTCCAGATTGATATGTCATTGAACCTTACATAATTCTAATATACAAAATATAGTTGACCTATGATTATAAAATCAATAATTTAACTTATCGCAAAGATTTAACATTGATAATTTCATAATAGAAGCAATGGTCTATGACATGTATGCCTTTTCTGCTCAAAACTATGATAGAATTATAAAGTAATTCAAGTGAAAAGATGGAATGAGGTCGTAATATTTTGAATATTTTTAACGCTCAATTATATTTTGTCTATAGCACTTCATATGGTACGAAATTCGTAAAGTATTATTTTCATTGAAAATGATTCTGCAGTTTTATATATAGATTTTGTTCACCTGTTACCTACAATAATTGGAAACTGACTTAATAATTGCATTCTCAGCAATTGACGATGAAAGTTATTGTACCAAAGAAAAGACTAGGGATAATGTTTGCCTCATTTTTCTGGAAGTTTCCCTTTTTTTTTTATTGTAATCTATATTTTCTTTATAGATGAGTGTTGAAAACATTATAACTTAAAACTACGATATTCAAGGTTTCTCAAATTGGTAAATCGGAATTAAATTAGCTGATTTAATTTGAAAGAAATAGTCGATATATACCAATGATGGGGTTCTTTTCCTAAGCTCATGTTTTATCCCTACTTTGTCATAAAAGAAAGTATTTTATGACAAAGTTGATGTATAGATATCAAAATCATATTAGTGGACGGCCATTTGATATTCGAGAAAAAGAGAAGGAAGAGGGTAGGAGAATGTTTTCCCCGAACGGACAATAATTCAATCATTTAGAAATAATATTTATTTCTGTTAAGTTATTTATCAAAACCCTCTCCCAGCGCAGAATATCAAATTAATTTATTTTTTCAAAACGAGGAAATTCCTTGAGCAGTATATTGGCGACAACCTTATTATATCCATTTACTTTGGTACTATTACACTCAAATTGGCAAATTAACAAAGATAGACGAACAATACCAAAGCAACATTCAAACTCACAAGTCCAATGCAAACTGACAACACCATGACACAAAAAGAAAATGACCAAATGACAAACATCAGTATACAAAACACAACCTAGAAAACTAAAGTTAAACAGATCCTCTTCCACATTTTGCACCCTGCCCATTGCTCATGTAAGAACAAATTCGGTAATAAGTCGAATTCGGTAGGTCATATTCGGAGAAAAGAGGACGAGACTCTGTGCTTACGCCAATTTGAACATATCCGTCGTCATCTGTGAAACATATATGCCATAAACTTAAGACTTTAACAACCAACAAAACGAATTGAAAAGACTGTAATATTCCTGACTTGGTACCGACATTTCCCGAAAAAAATGGTGTGTCAAACCTGGTTTTATAGCTAGCTAAACCTCCAACTTGTGTGATAGTTGTTTATAGTTCCGTTGTATTCACAAAATTGGGTGAGCAATTAAAATCGAAAGCCTAACATGAATACCTTTTGCTTATTGCTCATTTTTTCCTGATAACCACGCTTTCAGAGTATGTGTAAAAAACTATAAGAATGTTTTTACATAGCTTGTGTAGATAGAGTGAAACCAGAAATTTATTGGCCTAAGACACAGTATGGACGTGTCGGCGGAACAGCTAGTTTTCTTTGTACTGGTGATTTTGGGTGTACTCCAGATGCTGCTAGAGATGTATCATGGTATGATGAAGAGTGGGCGTTGTTGGATAATAAAACAATATTTCCTAGATATAATGTAACAACGGTAGAAAGGTATTGCCCTTTACTATGGGTTTATAAATCTGTACATGCAAAATATGTATCACATTTCCTCAATTCCTACATAACTGGTGACAGGACTTCAGGAAACCTCCATAGATTTATGGTTTCGAAATTCAGTTATTTGCTATCTTTTATCTTTTTATCATTCATCGAGGAAAAAAGTTATATCTTATACTCAACGTTTCCGAAATCACTAGTATTTCCTTTTTTCTTGAAAACATTATGATTTTAAGCATTTATTTTTTAGCTACATTGGCTTTTGGAATCTACACCGACTTTTTCATTTATAGAAACAGGGTTTTAGAAATTACTACCTGGGACTTAGTAAAACCGCACACGAAATTACTGACTGGAAAGTAGAGGCGTTAGACTGCATTACAATGTGAATGAGTAATTAAAGTAACGTTGAAATGTAAACAATATACACCTTTTTAGCACGCTCCTCGATTTACATTCACCATGAACGACTATTGGTGAACCCAAAAATGTATAAACATACCTACTGCATCCCCTGCGCTCACAAGGTTTAAATCTGCAACATGCTTCATGTGCCTGTCCCAAGTCAGAAGCCTGTTGTTCAGTGGTTGTATTAGTTGCTATCTGCTGTTTTTTGTTTTAGTTGTTTTTGTTTAATCTGGTAGTTGGTTTTTCCGTTTAATTGTTTCATATTTTTTCAAGTCAGGGACTTTTACAGCTTACTATAAGTTATGGGTTTTGCTCATTGTTGAATGCAGTACGGTGACCTAAATTTGTTTACATCCATGGACTTTGGTTACTGGTGGAAAAAAAAGGACAAAAATGTATAAAAACATGTGATTTAATACAAAAGATCTTAGAAAAGCCAAAACCGTACAAAACTTGTTTGTGGGAGATGCAATATTTGCTCTTGTTGGAAAATTCAAAATTACTTGGCTGACCATTTATCATTAAAATCAAAATGCCAGTAAGCGTTACAAATTGTTGTTTAAGACAATTATTGAATTAGTTCCAACTATTTGAGAAAAATCTGAATCACCTTCCAGCGTACCCGAAATTAGTTTTGATTTTTTGGGTTCGTTTTGCTTGATCTTGAGGTTAGAGTGTTGTGTATGGACTATTATTTTTGCATTTTGTCTTTTTTCATTTGACCATGTTGTGGTCTGTTTTTCTTTAAGTTGCAGTTATAATTTCTTTTCGCTTCGTCTTATTTTTAACACATTTTTTGTCAAACATTTAAAATTGATAATCGTAATAAGTAACTTGGCATGGGAATTTAAGCATTTATATTTTTCGATATCCGCCACCACTGTAATCTTATATCATCTACAGTACAGTAAAACTTGTTTTCCCAGAATTCGTTATGTGCATAAATTATATATTCATTCTTGTACAATGCTCATATAAAACTTATTTGTAGAGAAAAGGTACTGTTGTTGAAGTCTCGAAAAAATAAATGATGGTATATATCATGTTCCAAACGTATTTTGTACAAGCAACATTTGTATGACTAGCATTTATAAAACAGCATAATATAATGTGATGTGACGAAAAAAACCATAAACATTCCGAATTATTATCTTATTTTGTTTGAATACATATAAAGAGAGATGTGTATGCATCAATAAGGCGAAAATAAACGACTAAAATCAACAAAAGACCACTAACAGTCACAAATCTACCTCAATGGCCGGTTATTTGTAAAATGTGCCAATACCTTAATCGCCCTTATTCTAGATAAGTTGTACAAGATTAGAAAGACCATGTGCCATGACCCTCAAATTCATTAATTAACAAAACATTAAGATATGACCATTGACGAATTCCTGCCTTTTAACAGGCATATACACATGTAGAGGTGTTAATCTATTTTTTAAAGAATTCCATCCGCTACTTTTCCATTGTTATCAGTTTACTTTAAAAATTAACATAAAAAAGAAAATAAAAATTAATACATGAAAAGCACTTAACAGTAGCGGTCCGATATATGAAAAAACACAAGCGCAAACATAACAATTATAAAAACACAGTATCAGAGAATGCTTGCAGTTACTATAAGCAAGCTAATAGTATTTTATCTGCTGAAATGAAATTATGTCGTTCTATCCAATAATATTGGTAAATTTCATACATCAAAACCATAAACAGTACAGGAAGGTAGGACCTTGTGCAGTGTCAAGATAACCGGCACAGAATATCAATGATTATAACAAGCTAAAAATTTTAGTCGTTCTTCAAAGTATAAATTAGCGATCTGGTGTTCATTCCAAAAATTATACAAGACGAAATGCAGACAGTAGTTAAATTATAAGACAAAAAGATGGATTTTTGAATTGTGAGCTGTATAAATAACATAACCGTACAGCAAAACTTGGTGTGAAATACCACTTACTATTAGATAACTTCATGTGAAACATACTTCCACAATAAATCTCTAAATTTGTGATAAAATTGAGTAACAGGTTTTATGTTTTAATTTATAAAACTATTACTTTCACTGGAATCTGATACACCCCTGTAAGCTTGCAATTTATCAAACCATCTGAGAAATATGTAAAAGAAATCCCGGATAACATGAAATGGAACTTACTGCACTTAATTTGTATATATTTTAAAGGTCGAAACACACCATTATAGAATCCAGATTTGAAATAATAACAATTGAACAGGGAGATTTCGAAAAGTATTTTACCTGTTACGTAACGTCGTCTTATCAGGAAGGAAATAGAAATGTTATTGTCCAACTAAAGGAAGCAAGTAAGTAATATAAATATTATTTTCTCAGAACAATATTAATGCCTAGAAAAAAAAGAGGTGGAAGATTCAAAGGGGACATTCAAAACTCATGTCATAAGAGAAACTGACAACGCCATTGTAAAACAAAAGGCGACCAAAAGACAAATGAGTTCACAGAACAATACATAAAAAACAAAAGATTGAGCTACCTGTAAATATATGAAAACATTGCTGCATTTGGAGTACAAGTATTTATGTTCCTCTTATCGTTATCACAATTCCATCCTCTTTTCTCATTTGTGACATTACCGAGAGCGACTTATCACTATAGTTTTACTAACAATGAGTAACTCGAAGGGTGCCACTAGTGAATATGGAACTGCTTACACTTTTGAAGGACCTGATTTTACCCCCTATTTTTTGTAGCTTTTGTGTTTCTCAATCTTAAGCTTACTGTGTAATGTTTTGTAATTGCTGTTTATCTGTTCGCCCTTTTTCTCTTTGGCCATGATGTTGTCTGTTCTGATAGGACTAAACATTGTTTTATTGTCCTCTTGGTATCTTCTCTTTCTTTTTGTTGTAGTTACGATATCCAGCCATTGTGTCTACCATCATGATCTGGGTTACCTTAATAGAGCATCTGTGTCACGTCAAACGTAACCACGGATATATCGTAGCCACAATTCCAACATCTTTCCACGTGTATAAAAACGCAGAAATAAACTTATAAGCAGATGTTTAGTTGTCTTGAACAACATAATGGGCGCCCCTAAAAACGAAGGACTTGCTTACACTTGTTTACATTTCTGGCGTTCATCCGAGAGCTTTGAAAAGGATAGAAGATGCTTTCCTTTGTCTGCGTTGCATTTCGTGATATCTTAGTTCTCAATGTCTTACTGTTAACATATGGATGGTTTTGTTTATAATTTATCACGAACAAAATATTTTCATTTCAAACTTTCACTTCCGGCCAAGAATCTGGTGTAGAGAATTGACGTTTTATAAATTTCGTAGGTGTAGACAAGAGACCAGTATCTTCTTGTTTCTTGCAAAGTTATGACTCATCAACATATATATATTATGACAGTAGTATTTAAGTAATTGGGCAGGGGCTGCTGCCTACTTTGGAGGTCTTCAGTTTATCTATAGTTTTTGGTAGGAAACATGATCATTTTTTGTTTTCTGTGTGGTGTTTTATTGACGGTTACATTTTCATCTTTGTTCTTTGGGCTAATATTTCATTCTTTAAAGACTTGTTTTGTTGATTAACCCATTGATAGTTTTTTACTCTCAATTCAATACAGAGTATGTAATTGACCAAACTTCTTATAAAACATAGCAAAATATTACTCTCATTTGGCTTTCATACAAAAGTTACACATTTTGTGAACGTCACAATACAGTAATTGGATTTTTTGCTGTAAAAGATGTCCAAGATGTCCAAAAAGTCGCCTTGATATGTATTGTGGTAAAATTCCAACTTTCCATTCGGCAATAACTATGCAAATAAGTTATTTACCTCATTTGAGTAGTGTAATGGTCAACAAGACTAAGCACATGCCAGATCCATGTGTGCTGCTTGACATTTATGTACCTAATAAAGCAAATTACCTATAGGAAGACCGAAAACTTCCAACAATTCTACATGTTTTATATAAACTCAAATGCATTGGACTATATTCTTCTAAATAGATTCAAGAAAATACTGATTGTCAAGAAAAAATAAAGTTTAATTTATATTTTAGGGATCCAAATAAACAACATTACTTGGATTACAGCGAAAGAAGTAACCGCAATAGTTGTACCATCTGTTATTATTTTAACAGTCGCAATTGTTTTCACTACTGTGTTTTATTTGAGAATAAAGCTGTTTATTCTTTCACGTATACCTTACTGGCATTTGATAGACAAAGGTAAATTTACATCTGCTTATACAGATTGTACCATTTGCTTCGCCAAGCTGAAGTACGTTGTAAGGGAAGTTAAATAAAGATTTATTGACTCAAAACGTTTTGACAATTTTAAACATCAATGTGCCATTGTTATAATCATATTCATAGAAAATATCACTAACAACTCAAACAAACAGGTTGTGAAGTTTATCACAGCTATTCTATTATCCCGGGTTTTTGGAATATTTTGGAAATATTTTTGTTTTTATTGTTGTTGCTCTTGATACTATTCCCATATTAAAGAGACTATTTTTATGACATATCTATAGAATTTGTATCAGTTTAGTATAAGAAAACAAAGAATATCATGTGATAATCATGTGGTAAAGTCGTTAGTTTATTTATTCTAAATTAGGTGATAGACAATACCATGTTTTTATTCTCCATGAAGATGAGGATACAGAGCTTGCAAGAAGAATTCAACAAAGACTTCAATCAGACGCTTATACGGTCAAAATATCTGGTAGCATGACAGGTGGAACTGGTAAGATCCATTATATTTGATTTATGCATATCTTTTATTGTTCTGATACTGTGACACTTTTTTATAATGTGGAACAAATTAAGATATATGACGTATGTTATAAAAGTTTTTTGCATTTTAATGTACAAATGATTATTACGGACAGAAATCACATTTAGATTTTAGCCAACAAAATACAAAATACACATACAAATGTCAACTTAACTGTAACAATATCTGAATGTCTGATCCAAGTCTTTTCTTGATCCGGAATTCTTCTCTTAACTCTCTCGGAATCCAAACGAAATAGTATGTCCAATAAGTTCACCAACTAGTATGATGTTGTAGAATTTACCAATAAACAACTCCAGAGATCTTCTTAGAATACTTGTATATTTCTGAATATTAGTACAATTCAGCGTTTATATATATATGGTTACCAGGGCAACTTCTAGAACACTATAGAAGGGAAACTCTAGAAAACTTTTGAAGTTAAAATTACGCATCGTAGATTATGATCATTCTGGAATAAGTATGCAAGTGAAAATAGTAAGTTCTAATAATTCCACCAGTAACTACGATTGTTCCATTGAATTCTTAACTACACAATAACATTATTTTGTAAACAACTATAACAGTTTACAACATAATTATCTAAACATTTTATAAGGCTACACAAAACAAATTAGGCCAAGATAAATAATCATAATAATTACAATCTCATAACTTGATACAGACAAATAATAATTTCAAACTAACATAAAATATTGTGTTTCATTATTTTTTTTCTATACCTTTAAGTAAAATCCGTAGAATTTAAGATTAAGAATGGAAACAGGGAATGCGTCAAAGACACAGCAACCCGACCAAAGATCAGAAAACAGCCAAAGGCCACCAATAGGTCTTCAACACAACGAGCAAATCAGCTGGCCCCTAAAAAATAACGTATACTAGTTCAGCGAAAATGGACGTCACACTAAACTAGAAACATATAAATGAACCAAAATTAAAAAAAAAACATACAAGTCTAACAAAGGCCAGAGGTTGACTTGGGAATTTGAATGTTTCAAAATTTTATAAACAGTAAATCAACATAAAAAACATATCAATGATAATTCAAATCAGAACAAAAGTGTTGACCACTGGCCTGGTGATGCTCTCGGGGTGCAATGTTTACCAGTATCGACTACTTCTAAAAACTAATCAAAGATACCAGGCTTACTATTTAGTACACCGGACTCGTGTTTCGTCTACATAATACTCATCAGTGGCTTTAGGATCAAAACAGTTGCAAAGCAAAATCAAATAAAACAAAGTTGAAGAGCATTAATAACCGAAAATTTCTAAAAAGGTGTGCTAAATACGACTAAGACAATTTATACCTGGGGGTAGAAAACCCCGTTTAGCTATATAATCTGTAATCTAGTTTTTGCTTTGTTAACAGTACTGTTGCCTTTATTTAACAGATATGATGCAGCAAGCACAAGAATTTGCACAAGATAGTAAGAGTTTGATCATTATTTACCCTTCGGAATATTCAAAAGATAGTCAGAATAACAACTTCCAAAGTTTAATGGGGGTCAGACAATACTACATTCCGAATCTCGTAACAGTTGTTGAAGAAGATGGGAGAACCGGAGACAAAGTGGAGGTTATAGACTCTGACAAAACATTGGTGAGAATCAAATACCCACCTAATCAAAATTGTAGTACATATCAACATGCAAATTTTTACTGTAAAATTAATCTTCGGATGGCCAGGAGGACAGGAGATAATGTTTGTTGTACAAAAAGTAATGGACAAACTCAACGAGGTGATGAAGATACAGAATTACTCAATGTACAACATAATTTATCAAACAGCGAACAAGAATCATCTGCAAATGTATCGTCAATTTGTAGAAACCAAATAGTATAGATTTCGAGGAGATTGAGTAGACATTAGCAAAATCCCTCAAATATAAATGGTACAGCATATATAGCGTTTCCTTATTTTGTTAGCATGTGCATCAATTTATAGTTCACCTCAAATATGTTAGAGGGACTATTGAAGTACCCATGCCTCAATGTCAACATGTTAGCCGTTAGTCAGTTCTCATATATAAAAAACAGTAGATTGTCATAAAATTTTGAAAAATGTTCATATTATGCATATGTTAATTTGCTTGTCGCAGATCAGGAAGCTCGAAAATGATCGTATTTGATTATACTTCAATCTTTTTTTCGAAAATAACTTGATTTTGATGGCGGACATTTGTATCGTCTTATTTATATGTTGAGAATCGTGAAAAATGGCGTAAATAAATTAGTCAATATTGATGACCGTATATTAACCTCGAGATGTTTTTTTAAATTTTGTTGTTTCCTCGAATTGCTGTCTAATTGACACAATAATGAATCAATCATAAAAACAACAATTGTTGAAAGGTTTAACTACTTCATTGCATTGCTCAAGTATTGCCATAGGTCGTTCTGTAAATTTTTGCAGATAATAGTATGCTCTAAAACAACCGTGTCAATAAGAACCACACTTCTCCACAATTATTCTTTTGGCATCGGCTTAAAGAAGTGTGTCCACAGATTCCAGCAGCAAAACCAACGAGGCCGCCCTTGCTATCAATAAAGCACACTGTGTCTAAACTACCCCGACAAAAAAATGGTTGGACTCAATGGTATCTAATATCCGGTACGATGTCGGACCATCAACAGACATAGAAAATGTAGGATTTCTGTTCATTTACTTCTTATTTTACTGATATTGAAGAATATAAATACATAATAACTATTTTCGATTGTGAGGTGTTATATTTTCTACAACCGTTCTAGATTAACGAAGAAATAAGTAAAAAGGCACGTCAAAATGATGAATTGAGTGAACCTTGCCTCGAATTTGTTTAATTTCTCGTTAAATTATTGTACGGAAAGAAATGTACGGAAAGAAAGATATTAACATGGAGATTGCAAGACTAGTCACTTTGAGCCCCTAAATATTTGTATTTCTGTGCATGGAACGAAAGAAAAGGGCATGTTAAAATGGAAGGACTCAGTTTTGTCAATGTGTACGACCCGTTTTCGTCCTAAAATTTCACAAAACAAGACCCGGTTTTGTCATAGAAAATACTGCATAATCGCATAACATATTAAATTCAACTCCGGCGTTCAATAGCTCTAAAGATGTGATATGGAAAATACATAATTGTAATATACATTTATTTCAAATGTTAACTTCATTGGAATTTGAAATGTAAATATGATATTGAAAACATGCGTTAAAAGGCCAATAAAATCAAATGTGCTTATCTGAAAATAGGGGGAAAATCCCACAGCTATGTAATGTGCGTGCTCAAGTGTCAAAACTCACATTAGGTATTAGATACAAAACAAAGGTAAAAAAGCAGGCTGGTAACAACCGTTGCTGTATAGTTTTTCTGCGCGAGTAGTCAGGTCAATGTCTGAGGCGATAGCCGATGACCTTGACCTGACTACAAGTGCAGAAAAACTATACGGCTGGTTGTTACCATCCCGTTTCTTTTGTAACTTTTGTTTTGTATCTGACTTGAACACAAAAATGTCCATACCAGTTTATGTACTACGATGTTTGGAGATAGGCAGTCTTTAATAAAATAGGGATTTTGCGTTAACACAAGCGCTTCCCAATTCTTCCAGCTGTGTGCGAGTGAAATTATTGCTCATTTCTTTGATACATATCAGTGACGTAGGAGTAGATTGAAAAGTTGGGGGAGGGGGGACTTCTCAAAGTGACAATTTATATATTTCTACAATAATAGTCATATAGTCTAGAAGTAAGTAAATGTCCCCTTCCGTAGCCATATTATATTTTAATAAAAAATAAAATGCCAAAAAAGAGGGGGTATTGTCCCCTTTCCAGGTTCCTACGCCCCAGCATTTATATTTACCCCTCAACACCAAGAAAATAACATACGTACTTACAAACAAACAAATAAATATGTTTTTGGCCTTTCCTGAAATTTGAAAGTGTGGAACTTACGGAAACTAGAAATTAGGTCGAATCGCAATGTTTTGTTTATTACATACAAATATACTGTAACTTTTTTTCAACCAGGATTCAGAAACTAAGCTTTCCACGATAATTTTATATAAAAATAAGGAGATGTGATATGATTGCCAATGAGACAACTATCCACAAAAGTTCAAATGAAGTTGATTGTTGGCAATTATAGGCAACTGTACGGCCTTCAACAATGAGAAAAACCCATACCGTACAGTCGGCTACGACATGAAAAATATGAAACACTTCAATTGAGAAAACTAACCGCCTACTTTATAACAAAACAAATTACGAAAAACAAATATGACAGACATGAATACCACTGAACTACAGCTCCTGACTTGGGACAGAACGTGGCGGGATTTAACATGTTTGTGAGCGCCCAACCCTCTCCCTTACCTGGGACAGTTGTGTAACAGCACAGTATAAGAACAGACTATAAAAATATATAAATACAACACCATTCCAGTAGTCATCACTGCTATGTTGACATGAAACAACATTATTACGATCATAGTCATAAATTAACTGTTTACATAACTAGGAATTGTTCGGATTTTCTACCCAAGGAATAGATTACTTTAGCTGTTTTTGGCAAAACCTTACGGAATCTTAGGTCCTCAATTCTCTTCAATTTTCACTGTTTTGTTTGACCTTTTACCTTTTTTGATTCGATCACTGATGAGTCTTTTGTAGACACAACGTGCGTCTGGAGTACAGAATGTAATTGAAAGATTGCCTTCATTTAGAGGATAAAAGATAAAATTGACAAATTAACCATGAAAATGCGTTCAAGACACGATAAATCGTGCTTAACGGAGATAAACAGTTTAAATCATCTTAAATATAACAAATGAAGTTGAACAACTTTTACTGAAAATTATTGAAAAAGTGACCAAATGCGATTGCTTACCGCTGATCAATCAAACAAGAAAATGACTTCGTCCAGATCAGACAAACCATGTCAGACGGCCAAGTACAACTTCAAGCAAATACTTAAGTATATACATGTGTGGTTTCTGATTTTCTTACGAAAACGTTTTATTGTTTTTAACCTTGATCACTAAACCATGAAAATATGATAAAGGTCAGACAAACTCTGCCAGACAGATACACAGTCCATGCACAGTTGAATGCAAATGTGGACAGTAACAACGAATATCTTCCAGACGGGAACTGCAAACCATAAGGGATTAGTACATATGAACATATCATATGGACTATAAAGCTGATAATTACGCTTTTATAACATGATTAAGGCCTAAATACGCCGACGGCTTAAGCTATTACTTGCAATCTTTAAATACTTTAAAAATGCAACACATGGGGTTATGTAAGATATCTATAAGCAGTCTACCAGAATAATTGCAAACATAAACAAGAAAAATTAGATTCAAAGCAAATTTATACTATTTTCATAGAATATGATAAAGAAGTTCCAATTGGGTATCATATTAAATGGAACAGAATATTGAAATGTGAAAATGTACAAATTGAAGCTCAATATATGCAAAAATTTATTCATAAATATTTAAAAGATAATAAACTGAAAATGTAAAGATGGAAACTATTACACTTTATTCTTCCAAACAAAGTTTTATTAAAACAATGGAAAATAAGCCTTCACTCTAACTGTAATTTTGTAACCTCACAGAAGACTATGAACATTTTTTTGTAACTTGCCACTTTTTTAGATGAGTGTTGGGGGAAAATATATAGGTTATTTGAAAGAGTTAAGATTGGTAGACATATTAATCTGAGGTTATAAAATTGATGATGAAAATTATTATGAAATAAACTTTTTACTTACAGTTATTGTGTTTACGATTCACAAAATACACTATTTGTCGGAATATAAGACAAAGTGTAAATATATGTGTATACTGTTTTTAAGTCAGAATTTAAAAATTGATTATTATTACAAAAAAATATATTAATATTGAAGGAAAGGGATACTAATAAAGATATATTCTGATATTTGAACTGCATAATTATTATATCATTGTCAATATTGTTATGATATATGTACTTTACAGAGCTCTGTGTACTTTACTTGTGTGATAGATGATTATTTCATTTTACAATTTCAATGAGTTTTGAAAGTACCTCTTTATTTGTCCCACATATTTATACACTTTAATCAAAGATTATACTGGGGAAATACAAATCATGCTCACTGTTTGATACCTAGCTTTTACGTATACATACCTTATGTGGCTAGTACATTTATGTTTGACATAGAAAAACTTAATGAAAGTAATTAATCCAAACAAAAAAATTGAAAATACCGTTAGCCGAACGATAGAGAAACATATTAAACCACAAACCCAATTCCGAAAATGCTACTATAACCCGTTATTCTTTTTTACTCTCAACATCTATCAGATAGTAAACAATTTAAACAGTTTGGGGAGTAACTGTGCACCACTTATTGCGGACCTTTTTTTGTATTTCTATGAGTTACAATTTATGACAAAAATCAGCAAAGACCCATCGAAACAACATCTGATACACAAATTCAATAATACTTTTAGATATTTGGATGATATTTTGGCTCTCAATAATGACGACTTCAGTATGTATACTAAAGAAATTTATCCTGTTGAACTTACTTTAAATAAAGCTAATACTAACAATGACCACTGCTCTTTCCTCGATCTTGATATCTATATCATTAACGGAAAGCTTAATACTAAAATATATAATAAAAGAGATGATTTTTCATTTCCTATCGTTAATTATCCATTTTTAGATGGTGACGTTCCCTTGTCACCATCTTACGGTGTTTATATATTTCAACTTGTTCGATTCGCTCGTGTATGTAACAATGTTTTAGATTTTAACGAGAGAAATTTATGTATTACTGAAAAATTATTACACCAGGGTTTTCGATATCACAAACTAGTCAAAACATTTACTAAATTTTATCATCGGTATAAGGACATCATTCGTAAATATAGCTCAACATGCAGACTTCTTATACGTTCAGGAAGGGATATAGTTACGATACTGTTGTCAGGTCATTAAAGATTGCATATTTTGGCGTTAATATTGATTCACTTATAGGGTCTTTGCATCGAAACTAAACACATTTATTAAAAAACCGGTTGTTGGCATGACACGGGTTATGTTCTTTTGATATATGTT